GTTTCCTTTCTCATGCGAGTCAGTGCCTCTAAGTTGTAATCCATTTACTCGTAATTTTTTAAAAATTTCTGTAAGTTTCCAGTTGTTTTTTTTTCAGCTTTGAAAATATTCCTTAAAAGGCTTTATCATGTGCTAAACAAGCGTTTCGTAGTTGAGCTGATATAAAAGAGGTGTCGGGTTGTAATCTATGAATGACGTTGTCGTTAGCAGTGCAGTTTGTACCGGGATTATGGATATACAGGATTTTTCCTCCGATAAAGAGACTTTGGAAAAAGAATATCATATAGAATAGTTCTGATTTTTTTCGGCGATTTTTATAATTCATGTTTAGCTCGTTCGTCTCCTTATTTCCTGGATGGAATGAGCTCGATGCATATCATCGAGGCCTACTGTGGTGATTCACACACGCTTTTACTCTCACAGGAAGGACGCCTCTTCGCATTTGGATCAGATGCTCAGGGACAGATCGGTGGAGGGAGGAAGTAAGATTTGTTTTGTCATAGCTCTCTATGGAATACATTTGAATGGATTGTTCTCAATTTAATTGGATCGGATGTATTTTGATTTTTCTCTCGAAGGGCTGAAATTTGCGCGGATTTCCCAATCTTTTCAAACTTTTCGAACACTTCTGGTGATGTCAAAATTTCGCAGAATAGTATCGCATGAAGGGTTACGGAGAAATGTCCAAATTTCCTGTCTTTTTTCCTGATAAACCTTCCTCCCCTCGAAAATGATAACCTAAATAAACCTTTTTTTCCTTCACACACTTGCTGGGAGTATCATGGGTTCAACTTTTCGAATTTTCCATCAAGTTGTTTCATCCCCGCGCATATGGAAACAAAACTTCTTCAAAGATGTGCTGAATTTTTGGCAATAAACAAAGAGTCAACATTCCCCAAAGGTCAAGAGAAATCTGTCGATCATCGTATGGAGATAAGTCCACAAAGCCGCTATTTGAATCACGTCATAGTTTTTTTTTATATATATAGAAGAAGTAATTAGCCTTTCTTTCAAAAAACACTTCAAAAGCTTGCACATGTTTATTTTCAGGTTTGACAAGCACACGAACCCTGCAGCAGTAGC